TCAGGAGTGAATTCATCACTGAAAACAACTCTTCCAATTTCAATTCCATTCTTTTCTGGATAACTTACTCAACCATTTTTAGGTCAAGTAAATCTTTCTAAGGTTCTTAAACTTGTTCCAGTATATTCTGAACTTTCAGTAAGGTTGTGAACAGCATTTCAAGTTCTTAGTTTAAAATTCTCTTCCTTATCAGTTAATTGCTTTTCTAAATCAGCAATTTTGTCTGATAGTTCTTTGTTTCTTTCTTGGAGATTTGTTATTATGTTTGTCATGATTTTCTTCTTTTAATATACTTATATCCTTAGGGTATGTTAAGTATATAATTATTTTAGTACTTTTTTGCTTTAAAAGTGGAAAAAGCTAACAATATTTGTCAAAAGATTAAAACTTATTAAACATAATGACAGTAAGGGATAAATTAACAAGTGACAAAGTCATAGAGGTGATTTTATCCTAAATATTTTATTTGTTGCCAGTATAGAATGGTCTTGGACAAGTAATGTCTTTGTATTCATCTTTCACAAATGGGCGAATATTATGATAAAGGTATTCTTGCCTTTTATAATCCAAAGGAGGAGGTGTTAACACTAAAATAGATAAAGCTCTAATTTCTTTAAAAATATCTGCTTTCTTGGTTTTCAATAAATTGAACTCAGCAAAAGGTCCATTAGCAACTTCTTAAACTTTCACTGTACCAAGATTAGTTGCTTCAAAAAGAAAATGTTGATATTTCTGTATACTTGGTAATTTCTTAAAATAAATTCCCAAAATTGCTTTAATATCCAAATATTGAAAACCTTTTCCATCTTCATAACACTGAGCTTTATTCAATCCTGCTGGACTAGACTTTTTTACTACCTCAACCACATGATCCAGACAATCTACTCTTGTTCTTCTGTAAAGTTTTTTTATTAAACCAAAGCTACCATCACATTTGAATTTAGTATGTCCTGGAATCACAAAATTCAATTCAATACTTTTATAATAACTACAAATTACTAGATACAAATAAAATCAAATTGTTACATTATTTTTATTTTGTCCCCCAGCATTATCACAAGTAATTTTTAAATGCTTTTCACCTTTGTTCAATTTCTTAATTCCATCAAAAATCATACTAAGTGTGCCATTTGGTCCTTTTCCTATAGTTTCATTTTCATTAAGAACATAATTAATTTGTTCCCTTGCTGCTTCATCTTGAATACCAAATAAATGAACTTTACATGGACTAAGGTAATAAATTTTACTTACTTGTTGATCTAAATGAGGCACATGAACATTTTGGGCTCAATCATAACTATAATGAGCAGTAGCATCAATACTGCAATATTGTGTTTTACCCTTTGAATATTTTTGGTTAACCAGTTTTCTTTGTTCTTCTGCTAATTTGGTATTTTTATTATAATAATTTCTTTCTAATTTGGCTTAGACAGATGCTCTTTAAATCTTTTGAGCAAATCTTTAGCTTCTTCCTCTTGGCGAGCATTATAATGTAAACCATCTCTAAAATGTTGACAAGTATCACACAAGTCAGTCCTGGGACTCATAATTTGAATCTCTGGTGTCAATTGATGTCATAGTTTTCTGAAAGCATCATATTTTAAGGATTTCAAATTACTATTTTCTTCCAGACCAGCCAGAAAATCTCTGTGCACAGATTTATAACTCATTTCAGCTGGTAAGAATACAATTGATTGAGTTATTCTATTGATACTTCTGCCTGGACTTGGTAATCCATGAACTTCTGCATAATTTTCTAGAAAATTCTTTACTATTTCTGCAACATCTTTGTCAATCACCATTTTAGTTTTCCATTGAGGCATCCTTTTAATATTACCATGAACTCTTGCTAGAAGACCATTTTTTATCAGATGACTTCTAATATTTTCAAAGTAAGTTCTACCAATTCCTAACATATTAAAATAAGTTTCTTGACAAAGGGGTGTATTATGATCCCAATGGTAAAAAGTTTTTTTGTTAGACCTAGTTTTCTTTTTAAGGCGTCTGCTAGTGCTTATTGATCCACCATCCATTGCCTTAAGTTGAGCCATTAAAAATATGTCTTGTTCAGACTTGGAAAGTGCTTGAAAGGATTCTCTTAATTCTGCAAAATTTTCCTTGGGAATTCTTAAAGAGCAACCACAATCACTACCCTTTTTCAAAAAATCAATAGCTTTTTCATATTCATTAGAACCATTATACTTATTATTACTTTTCATATACACCTATCCCTATATATATATAATTTTATAATTTCATGTTCACTTTGTAGGTTTTCATCTATTTTAAAATTGAAGAAAAGTATATGAGTGGAATTAAACTTAGATGAATCAATGGAATAGTTTTAGGTAAATGATTTAAAAGATATGATTGTTCAATATATAGATGCTGGTCGCAATTCTTGGTGATGGTTGCAACCATATTTGCGACATATAAAAATGGTTTGTGACACCTAGTTGCAACCACCTTTGCGACCACTTTGGTTTCCTTTTTTGGATTGCGACATGGAACACTAGTTCAATAACTTGTGAAGAGAAATTGGAAAATTTGGTCAACCTCCCCATGAAAAATAATTATGGCCTAGATTTAAATTGGCTTATCATCATTAATAATCAAAATGATAAAGGACAACTTAAAAACAAACAATAAATGAAATAATAACAAGTTAATAAAAAATTGACTACCTTTACCAATGAATTTTTCTACACATTGTTGACCATAAACAGAAAATGTTATTATTTTGCTTTAACAAATCATGTGTAGTGATTTGTATTTTGTTTACTTTTTATAGATGTAAAATTTACTTAATTTATTTCTGAATAGATTATAACAATACAGTCAGGATTATTACCAAATTTGGAAATCGAATCTAGAAAAATTGGAACTCCTTTGTTGATCAATTCATATGTGTGGTGAACAAGTTAACATGATACTTTGCTGCCTTTTGAAAATCTTTTTTTTTTTAAAATTATAATAATAATAATCGAAATAAACAGTGTTGAACTTCCCTATAGAAAATAAACATATGGAATGTATAAGAATTTCCCTATATTTGATACGGAATAAATTTTTAGATACGGAATGGATGTATTCTTAATCAATCATTTCTATCAGAATTATCTGATTTTATTGACATCAATGGAAAACTCTTAAATATCTGGATTTTTGTGTTACTATATACAATAATGAACTTTTGGGAAAGCTATTTCAATCAATTGTAAAAATCTAGTAGACTTATCAAGGATGAAATAGATCAGGAATTAATGGAGATATTCAACAATTGTACTAAGTTACAAAGTATATTTAAACTAGTTTTTGCAGCAATACATAGATGGTGATAGAATTTTAGCAGTTTTAGGTCAGACATTACCAAAAAAATTAAAATCAATAATTTTTAATATTGCTGTTTTTAATATTAGTGACAATTCTTTTGATAATCTAATGAAGAACAGGAAAGGACCCAAACCTTTTACAATAAAATTTGAAGGATTATTAGAAGAATATAGTGATCTTGACAAATTGATAAGAAAATATCAAGATTTAGGATTTTTAAACTAGATTACATTTATTTTATGCTAATCATTAATAATATTATTATTTGATTTTAATTGGAAAATAAATAAATAATTTTTCACTTAATGATAACTTTATGGGTGTGGCATTCCAAAAATGTGTTTTATGTGGATCTCTGCATCGGTCATGTTTACTTCTTCAACAATCATTTTGTTGACACCCGAAAGTTTGTTTCATCGAATGTTCATTTTGTTGAATGTTCATTTCATCAAAAATTATTTCATCCTCAAGTCAGAGACTGAACGAGTTAGATGTGAGGAGTGTGGGAAGTTAGTTAAGAAATTAGGTGAGGAAAGCAGAGTGTGTGGGAAGTGTGAGGAGAAATTTGTTTAATGAAGTTTTTTTTTT